ATGAGCTCTCTGCGGGCGAGCCTATCAGCCATTTCGTTCCCTGCTAGTTCTATGTGACCCGGGATCCATCCTACTATGATTGGCGTGTTGAGACTTAATATATACATTATGATTACGGGGTAAATAATATATGGGTCACATATTTACCTGACTGTTAGTGGTCACTAGCTGGGCAGGAAGTCTGCATGACATGTTGTGTTATGGAAGATCAAGGTCACGTGTTGGTGGCCTTCGGATATTAAACAGGAGGCGGGAAGACAGATCACTCGCTCCGTTCAGGACACGAGTAAAGGACACGAGTAGAAGATATTAGTATTGGCTCTGCAGAGCTGGATCACTTGTGGACTATGAATGGTGTATATATGACTGGATATGTGTATTGTAATTTTGTTGAGTCTTTATTAGTATAACAATTGTTATTTTATTCCAACATGGCACGAGTGCTTTGGCCGCCGTGGTACGGAATTTCTGTACCAGCCACGCAGATGAGACTGTTTTTTCTGTAATCAGCGCTTCAACTGCCGCGAAACCGTCTAGGAGAACGTATATGACTCGGGCTCTTATGTCGCTGTTGCTCGATCTAATCGCCTCTAGGGTATCCATAGCTCCGTGGATTTCTGCGTCGTAGACCTCCGCATTCGTGATTGTACTGGGGCCGTTCTGGTCAATAGCTCATGTGCCCCCAGCAGTGGTCGCAAAAGCCCATGAAACCTTGTCAATAGATGCTTCAGAGCCGTCGCTATATATGCAGAGATAGTCGGATGATAACGACCTTAGCCAAATTTCAGTTGATTTGGCCGCCTCCTCTTTACTTGTCCGGCACGATCGACAATGTGCTGGCGCATTTGGTGATATGGCCTTCAAAAGGCAGGCCGCGATCTAAATGAACTCCAAGCCACCGAATTTTATCTGACGGATTTACCTCACGAGCACTGACTGTCATTAGTGGCAGAGCACATCTTTTGGCACTTGGACCGAGAAAACAGACCACTCCAGCTTTTTCAGGGTCGAAAGATACGGCGTTTTCAGTTGCCCATGACAGCACCGCGTTAACTCCCCGCTAGACCGCTGTTGTAGCTTCGAGGGGGGTCGAGCCAATTCCAAGTATTGCAACGTCTTCAGCATATCCAAATCTCCATCGGCTCCATCTCACGACCTCGGTAATGTAGACCGGCCTTTGGCTGTGCTGAGATCGCAACTAGGCTTTGGAAGAAGGATTACTTCCGCTAGCTTGAACACTTTTGGGAAGTGCTCCAATCGCAGTGAGCCCTCATAGAGAGCCCTCACTGTGTGGCTGATTGAAGGCTTTGCTGCTCTAAGTAGACGTATAGTGATTGCGTCTGCCCCGGGGGATTTATTCTGGCATATTGTGTCAACCCATTTGGCTTCATAATCTGAGACGCTGGAATTGCACAGCAGATTGCCCTCTATAGGCATGCGCTGGTTGGAGTTAACGTCATTTTTGCTGCTGAATTAGCTAAGAAGCAAGTCTCTCAGCAGACTCGCTCGCTGACTTGGGTTAGACACAAGACCGTCGGGGGTTTTAAGTGCTGGAGTCGTATTTTGAGGTGGAGGTTTCGCCAAACGTGCCATTCTGTACATGTCGGCGTTCATTATGGCCTCAGAGAACTTGCGGTGCCAAAGCTAGCGCTTCTCTCTTTTGACTGTCCGGCTGAATGCCTTCCTGCCCTTGTCGTCCAGAAAGATCCTATACTGGTGTTTGACCTCGCGGCACTCTTCCGTCCACAAAGGGGTTGTCCTGCCCTTCTTCGCGCCCCCACGTCTATCGGCAGTCCTGATTACGTCGCCCATTGTCGGAACTGGGGTGTCGGTCGGATTGTCAACATCAGATGTAGATGTCATTAGCCGTCTCCCAACTCCGTTGCCCCACCTCTTGTTGGAAAATCGATATGTGTTCGATAAGTAAGGCGGCTTAAAGAATATGGGCGCCATTTATGGATAGGATAATAATGATATGAATCGGGAGAATATGTGATGTACTGTGGAGAAATGAAAATGGATTGAGTTGATTATCTATCTTCTGGATCTCTAGACAGCTTATATACATGTATCTCAGTAATACAAAACTTAACCGAGTATCGACCTAAAGCCTAGTTCCGTACTCTGGCAATTCCAATGAGGACAGGGTTGGTGAATCAAACCCTACCTAACGGCTATTACATCACTCAGAGCTTCAGTCGAGTCTCATACATCAAACATGCTCAAAGGTGTGTTTGTCATTGATTTCAGTTGTGAGTTAGATGTAGAAATCTTCGTTGTTCCATTCCTAGGGAATCTTCAAACATACAGGGTGTGAATTCCCAGAACCTCTCCAGCAGTCGGGTAATGTCTTCAAGGGCGCTGTCATTGACCCGGAATAGTTGTCCGATCTTGATGGTAGCTAGGCTCTTGGAATTTGGGCGAGACACATCCTCGGACAGAGTCCGGCGGTCTGATGTCGATGCGAGATCTTTCAATATATTGGCTAGGGTTCCGATGTTGGACCAAACTAGGTCGATTGTGTTCCATCGATCGTGAGTTGGCGCGCCTGGTCATGAAGATAGGTCCATTCCATATTCAAGTATCCAATCTGCTAGGAGCTAGCCATCGCCGTGGAGGCAGGTGGCCATTGGTTGCAAGTCAGAATGTACGGAGTTAAAATCTCCTCCGATTGCGATAGTTCCGCACAGCTTTCATGCTAGCAGAGATAGAAGATCTGCTCCGAGGGCCCGGTAGATCGAAAAATATGTTAGTCCTTCGACCAATGCACAGGTTAAGACGGGTAATGTTTCGCATATTGGCTACGCTTTACTTTTCTTCCTTAACCGGGTGTAGATTGCGAAGCGTGGCTTGGCTAAGTTGGAACCGAGACTGAGGGCAAGTGGTTCTGGATGTCAGGAATACCTATTGTATGATTTATATATGTGGAGATAACCAAGATGTACCGTTCTATGATTCTGGTCTGGCCTTTTGGCCGAGTGGCTATGCACCTATCTCATGCATGATGTAGGATAGCCATCTCTTGCCTTGTTTCTCATCTCTGCTCCGCTATCTACATGCCGCTTCTGACACTGGAAGCTATAGTGCGACTTAATAAGCCAATTACCATCTGTAACATTGGTCGAAGGTTACTAATTCCCAAGCGTATCGCAGGATCATTTCTAATGCGAGTTCTCTTTAGCCCAAATCCGCGCTAAGCAACGAGACGGTTGTTGTCGTTGTGTGAAGCTCGGTAGGGTTGTGGTCCCTTGCGGGCATTAATGAACGTTGGGAGATACGTTTTAGGTAGTAGCTTCGGCGGCTTTCTGCTTGATTCTAGCCTCTCAGATCGAGGCATTTCTTTCTTCGAGACACTGCTGGCGGAAAACCGACAGTTGATCTTTTGTTCGCTATATAGTTTTACCGCCAACTCATGTTGGTCTTGCCGTACAGTTAGGCTCAGGGGCAGAGTGTGGCCCGTGGCAGTTCATGCATCTAGGGATAGTTTGATCGCAGGCGGGAGCCTTCTGCTTGAGGGAGCCACACCGCGAGCAGCGCTCCACTGACCAGCAAATTTTTGTAAGGTGGTGCCCCAAGCATCGGTTGCATTGCGCAATTATGGGCTTGCGCTGGAATTCGTGTATAAGCCCGCTTTCTTCGAACAGCCTCTCACCAAGTTTCGGTTATCCCGCTGCAAATTACGATACCCATTCGGATGATGGTCTCGCTGTGTTTGTCGCGAAAGCGCGAGCAAAGTTGTATATAACCTCTGTTTTTAGGGCTGCTTCTTCTATCGCCATTTCTGGTGTGACTGGTGTTGGTCCTTCTGGGGTGTAGAGCCTGTCGGGGATGTTTGGTGCCAACATCGAGATCCAGTTAGAAGCAGCTTCCATTTTAATTTCCGTGCTATCTAAGAGCACGGCGCCTGAGAAGAGCGCGCTTCTAGCTTCATCTTCTTCTGCCTGTATCGCGAAACCTGAGTTCACAATGTTCGCCTGCTTGATTACAGAGTTGGCAAGGCGTAGCTTGGTTGCCAGGCTTATTTTGAAGAAATGAGGAGACATGCGTCTCAACGGATGGCTGGGCTTGAGTCGTAATACGCGTTCATTCGGCCGGATTGGCTTGAGCGCTGAGGCTCTCGGCTTCAGCGTTTCTATTGGTATTGATGCCGTTAGGATTTGCAGGCTTGGTCCTTTTCCAGAGTGCCTGAGTCTAGGTACTCTCTGTAGTGTTTTCGCTCATAGTTTCCACGCCCTAGCTTGACCTGGAAGACTTAGCTGCAGCCGGCTCTTTGCCTTGAGCATGGCTCTTGCTCTCTCTTGCAATAATTTGCACTAGTCTTGGAGTGTTTGCGATAATTAATTTTTCCTCTGGTCTCGTGGCCCGCTCTGGGAGGCTTCTAGGAATATTTCCACTCGCTGTTTTTGCTAGCCCACTGGTTCGGATTAAGCTGGGTGTGCCGCGCAGGTTGTCTGTTATCAGACGCTGTAGAGCCACTCCATTCGCTCCCATAGCTTATTAAAGCTATTTGTCGGTTATAGATGCCAGCATGTTGATATACCCACTGACGATGAGCTCCGCCTCTGCAAAGATCAAGTTGAAAGCCTTCGCTCAATTGTGATGAAGTTATTCATGAAAGCGCTCACTGACTCGGAACGCTATAGGGGTGAACCTTGACTGCTCGTCTCGCAGATCGGCTCTGCGGCATGTGTTGGTAGGTCTGGATTGTTTGTTGGTTCGTTGAGAACTATCTCGACGTCAGGACGCGTCGAAGTTGTGGATGGGAAGGGAGGCAGTAGCCAGCCTCTGCGGAGGACTGGGGCGGCATGACTGAACTTGAAAGTGGGTTGAGATTTGAGAATAAATGCGTGTGATCTGCTATTGGGAGACTTGGCAAAGATATATTATTGTTGTTTCCTCCGATATTGTGTCAAAACTAGATATCTGCATACGCAATTAAAATCTCATGTAAAAAATGCAGATTGGTCATTCTGTTACAGGTATGTGGTGCAACAGTTCTGTGGCTAAGATATTTCGGGCTTTTATTATTCCGCCTGACTCGTTGCTGCAAGACACCACAAACCACCACAGCATGTTTACTGTCTAGCCCCGGGGATAAAACGAGACCCGCTGATGATCCGATGCTTGACCAATTCTCACCAACTGCGCCCGCTAAAGTCCGAGTAGTACTGTTACCTATAGGGCAAATAAAACGATCAAGATTCTTAAGCTTTGTGAAAAGACTTCAGCCTGAACACACTGTCTACCTCGCTGATGTCAGCCCAAATGGCCAGCCAAATAAAAGTAAAGCTTAGTAACCAATCCTAGTAACCATTCATTAATGCTAATATATTCGCTGCGTAGATATGTTTTCGCCATTGGCGTTCCAAAATGGAATTATAGTGTATGACCTAATGAATTTTCATCCTTCTGATTTGAGAACCATTCTTTCACCATTCGAGCTTTATCGAGAGCCACTTGTCATTATATCTTTGGCAGATGGAGCAGGGCTTTGTGAAACCAGAAATAACGAATCGGAGCAGGGAGGTTTCCATGAAAAGGAGAATTTGCAAGTTCATAATGTAATGCAGGAGTTGAAACAAGATTTGATGAACATTAAAGAACGATATGTTAAAGCTCTAGTTCATCAAATATTGATTTTTGACTACGTATCTAATAATTCCGCTTCACATCTACCGGAGGATATAGTCGCCGTGCCTCCACCTGAAAAATGTAATAGAACTACCATGAAAACAATCATGTGTGACGTTTCTTCCAAACTTCTAGCAAATATGACAGACTTAGCAAAATCAATCCAGGAACTAACCACCCTCGATTTCTCCAGCTCATCATTCTCTAATCAGGACTCTAATCAAGCCATTATATTGTCTACGAAAGTAAAAGCTTCGACGAGGCGGAATTCTGAACTCACTGCAACCGAGAAAACAAGCACATCTCCTACTCGGATAGCTGATCGCAATCAATCCCGAATGTCTATGCCCGTTGGTACACTAGACTCTAAAATTTCATCGAAACTAGCAGGCCAAACAAAACCTCCGACTAAAAGAACTTCATCAGATCTTTCAACGACCTCCGAAAGACTGAAATCTATGTTGTCTGGGGACACTCAGAAATCCTATAGAGCTAGCTCATCGCGACTGTTTTCCCCTGATGAAGCTAGCGAAAAAAGCACTGATCCTGGAATACAAAGCGAACGTTCTAAAAGTAAAGAGAAGGGTCGAAAACGTATTGCCATTGGTTCACTTTATATGCAAGCGGGTCGTTGGTCTGATGCGCTTAAGGAGTTGGTGGAAGGAGCAACGATTGCAAAAAATATACTTGATCATCTTTGGCATGCAAAGGCTTTAGACCATATAATGGTCAGTTTAATTATGCTAGCCTGGCGTGGGCTTGACTTTCAAATACCTCAAATTTGCTATAATTCTGGGGAAAAGCTTTTCTCGTCAAGTTCTCATGACGAAAGTAATTCTGCAAGTCGTCGCGCAGGTCGATTGCGATCGTTAGCTCTTCTTTTCCCAGATTTAACTGACAGGATATTGAATCTATATAATAGAGCCTCCACCAATACTGGTGAATCACTGCCTCAATTTTCATACTCGGAATCAGTCATTCGATTTTCAAAAATATTAACTGCTATTTATCTGAACGGAGGCTTACTAAATAATGATATTCTCCAGCAGGCCGTTTTAGGAACCCCATCTGGAACAACACTCAATGTTATGACACCTCGGTTGAATATTCGTCCAGCTAGATCCGAGATAGCAACGCTTCTTTTTCGAGCATTTCCCACAGCATCAAGCGATAATTTTTCCGTTGTCGATAGAAGTATTATTTTAAGTGGAATTGCAGCAGTCCTGAGCTCACTCGGCTATCGCCGGAAAAAAGCTCTAGTTATTAGAGAGCTGGTTTCGTACCTAATTCATGGTCTGATTCAGGTCCGGATCAAAGGGGCAGCCGAAATGGGGGTTCATCCTGCAGCTAGTCTAGCAGCTCTTAGCTCAATCCAACGCAAGAATAGCACAGAAGGCTTTCTTGATCTAAATGGAGACGACCTAGAGGTTGGCGTTGATGCGTTTCTCGGGTTGCTCGGTCAGAGCTATGGTGTCGTCTCTTTTTTAGCTAGCTATGAGCCAAATGGACAAATTGATGATTCAAACGAAGCAATTATATCCAGAATCCTACAAAATTCTTCTGTACGAAGTTATGGTAATTATAAAATGAAAATGGATGTTCTACGCTCATGTTTAAATATATCAGAAGCATTACCGGATTTTCGGGGTATTCTAAAATTTACCGCAGACCTCTTGAGGACCGCCGGAAGTGGTGTAGCCCCTGGCCCTCGTTGTAGAGATGCTTCTCCATCTATAAGTTGTGAAGAGCAGATTAGACTGGCAACAAATATTTCTCGCACTTTGACCTCAGCTAGGAATCTTGGCATAGATAATCTTGAAGCAGAATATTGGGATGAATTCTTATTACGTGGTGTTGAAGTTGAAGCCCTTCCCAAAAGCAGGCTCCCCATTTCGCACACCCCAAGCGAACTACCAGGCGGTACAACAGATGTCACTTCGCAAGAGATCAACCCTTTCATATATAATCCATTCCTAAGAATTCCCGACTCTGCGGCTGTCGACTGTCTCTTGATTGCTGGTGAGACTGCCACTTTTAAAATAACCCTACAAAACCCTTTTGAATTTGAAGTTGAAATAGAGAGTTTGAGACTTCAATCTTATGGGATTGAATGTGACTCATCATCACAAAAAATGGTTATTGGTCCATATCGCACTCAAATACTGAGTATAACTGGTCGTGCGAAAGAACCTGGTCAGCTCAAAATTGTTGGGTGTTTTATCAAGATTCATGGCTGTCGGGAGCGGCGCTTTCCTATCTTTGAAGACCCCTGGTCGCCTCAAAGAGAAGTAAAAATTAGAACGATTGGTATTTCTAGTCTCTTCAAGTCAAAAGAAACAAACTCTATTTCTACATCACAAAGCTCTCTTGACAACTTCTCGAATGTAATTCCTCCGAAGCCAAAAATAGTTTCATTGAATGTGATAAACAAGCAACCGGTCGTAATTGTCAAGCACACTACACTGACACAGTCTGCTATAATGGTTCTAGAAGGGGAACAACAAGTCTTTTCGATCACACTTCAAAACATTTCTGTGGATACACCCGTAAATTTACTATTATTTTCCTTCAAAGACTCAACCCAAGAACCTCTTCAAGCGATTTTGAACAACCGTAACTCCGAAGTCACTGAGCTTTATGAATGTGAACTGATACTGACCCGAAAACAATCGCTGCGATGGAAGAGAACGGACGATGCAATGCCCTTCATAGCACCTGGAGCTATGGCAACATTTGAAATTGAGGTGTATGGAAAACCAGGTCTTACTAGTGCCATCGTCCAAATCGACTATGCTTTTTTAGATGCTCCGGTGGTAGAAATTCAAGAAAAGTTCTACACTCGACAAGTCAGCGTACCGTTATCAGTGACGGTGAATTCAAGCATCGAACTAGTGGGAGTGGATGTAATACCCTTTTCAAGTAGCATACCTCGATCTCTTTATGCCAATTTTGGCTTACAGCAAAAAGGGGAATCATCCTTCAAATCAGAGGATTATTTTCTTCTGCTGTTAGACTTTAAGAATACATGGTCAAATCAGCTTACAGTGTGTATAGAAATAGCAAATCAGGGGTCTATTGAAGAGCAAATTCTTACTGGGAAGACGTCGCGGATTATGATTCCTGTCAGACGTATGTTTGTAGATCATATCTCTGCCCCTATACCATCTCTGAATCCATCACGCCAGAGGCAGTTCGTAGTTGGTATAGGAAATTCATGGGCTGGATCTGAAAGGGCAAAACGAAAGGCGTTCTGGTATAGAGAAGAACTTTTGACAAGTATTAATGGTACCTGGTTCTCAAAGTCAAGTCCCCACAGGAATGGTGTTATTGATTTACGATCCATGAAGCTTACGACTAGAATGATAGAAGCTATTAAATTTGACGACCTAGATATACATCTCAGTATTGGGTCAAATCTACAGGACAGCAAAGTTGAACTTTCAACTGGTAACTTTTCAGAGCTTAAAATTCAAATCATCAATAAAACACCACAATCAATATCTTCTATTCTTCGGCTTCAGCCATCAATGCGAAACCAGGCGCAACACTATCCACAAGAAATTTCCAAGCGATTTGTAGTTAATGGCTTGTTACAGCAGTGCATACCAAAAATACCTGGCGGAGGTAGTATTGAATTACGTGTTGGATTCATAATCCTCGCGCAAGGTGAATATGAGATTAATGCCGTACTAGAAGAGACTCGTCTCCAAGAGTCAGAAGATCAGACTGTCTCTAGTAAATCCAACATTGAATCACAAGATCGTGCTTCCGAAATAATTAACGTTGGTCTCGGAACGAAAGAAAGACAAATATGGCATCTGAGAAAACCACTTTTTATTCTTGTACGAGATCAAAATGCAGCTGATGATGAATGACTTGTATATGACTTGTGTATGATTTAATATGTACTGGCGTCCTTGGACTGGATATTGATTTATCTGATATTCGTTAAAATGCTTGGATTCCAACCTGCGGTGGGAAAATGATTGCTAGGATTTTGTTATCTTTTCCAATTGAATCAATGGATAAGATATAAAGCTCAACTATGAAATTTCAAACTAAAATATTTTCAGATATGGCGTAGGTCAAATATACAACACTTATGGTCCTCGCTGTATTTCTTTGACGTTCACAAAATAAATGATGTTTATACTTTAGTACAGCTTGTGCAATACAACTAGCATCTTTGATCTAGAAAATAAAGAACGACCTTGGTGTGGCTTAACTAATTCAGTCATCATGGCGAAATTTAATATCTTACTCAAATAATAACTCATCTCTTAGACAGGATGTAAGTGGAATAAACAAACAAACAAAACCATAACTCATCTCAGAAAATCCATTTGTACTGAATCATGACATATCTGGTCGTTCAAAAAGGCCTTCCTTGGAATATTTTTTTTTTTTTTTTTTTTTTTTTTTTTTAAATCATTAAGTGTATGCCCTTGGAATATTGCAGTGCTGGATCCCATCCGAATTCTTGCTATACTTACTCTGCTCTGTGCCATATTGTTTCCTTCCCTGACAAACGTTCTTTATTATCTGGAATAAAGGCTCTATATACTGCTTCTAGTTTTAGATTTTGCGACTCTCTGCCATATTCTCATATACTAGGAAATGGCGGCTCTCCATATTTAAACATCATTTTCTCTCTACTTTTGGTCACTTATGGTTTGATTAAAACAATAGCACGACAATATGTACAGACACGAATCTTGTAGCATCGGACATAGCGCTGTGTATTATAATAAATCCTTCGCTATCTCTCTTTTTGTATATTCGGTGACTTAGTTTTTACCTGAACTATATTGCTATGTGCTTTGTAGTACATCGATACCTTGCTGCAGGAAATCTAATTCCTGACAAAAAAACTGGCTCATACAGTTAAAGATTTTAATGTTCGGTATCTAGAATAGTAATAGTAATTGTAGTGATTTTAGACCTGAGTTGCTTGGCAGCGCCAAACAACCTATAAATAGTCTCCGTAAGGGCATGAAGTCGTGCTAAGCCCGAATGTAGCAGTATAGCGTGAAGTAGAGAGATAAATTGCCCCAGACCGTCCAATGCGCCTATCTCCAGTACTTCTTCTGTCCTAGACCAACAAATCCCTCTACCCCCATTCCCCACACTACCCTGAGAAGGCAAGTCAAGTAATAGCGTGACGCCAGAGAAACTACCTTAGATTCCTTCAACCAGAGCCAAATACTCTCAGAATAACCCTCTGGCAATGGCAATTCGATGGAGTTTGGACCAGCAAATTAGTCTCATTCTCCATGCGATGTCTAGAACGATAAGATTGAAAGTAAAATAAGAGAAATACTTTCTGGAAAGCTGTTCATAGAGGCTCGCAAGCTGTAGTCTCGATTATTGCGCTTGTTATTAAATACAATGTGAGTCTTTATAACTCTTTTATCCACCATTATCTTTTTCTGAATAAGTTTGCCATTGGATGGAGTCTGTTAGAAATTTTCAAGGATTTCTAGTAGAAAATATCTCGAAGAACAAGTGTACAAATTCGGACAAGAATTTATTGATAGTCGTGTAGGATATCGAACTCTCTTCTCAATTTGAATTAATAATATGTAGTATTCCGTTAACGTAGTTTAACACATGCAAATAAGTCCATTCTTAAATACAGATCCCCGAGGCTTTAGTGATCCCGAACTCCCTGTGATCTAGCAACAACCAGCCACCGCATTCTAGATGCTACTGAACCTCGTGTCGTCTAGCTGAGCTTAATCATATTCAATCGAGTCAATTCGATCAATCTTGATAATCATACCTAGAAATCTAAACCTCCGTTCATACTAAGTTTAGATTTCCAACAGAGTCCAACGGATGGTCATATCCTCTGACAATGCTTAATCAAGCCTTTCCAGCTGCACGTGTTGCCGTTAATCTCTGATTAAGTATTCATACAGTATGTGTAGCGCAATCTCTCTACCTACGCCTCGAGGTTAGATGTTGTCTTATCCTGGCGTCTTAGCCCGCTTTCAGGAATATTTTCAGCCCGTTCAAACCGTTCTGTCATTGGATATATGCGGAGCACCATGTCTTGGTTGGTTTGTTAAACAAACGAATAACATCTTTTTATATTATCATCAACTGAATGTACAACTATCTACCTGTCACAAATAATCGATGTCATGTGAATATGTTACATTATTCTATGGCTTAAGTGGCAGTCGTAGCCTGGAATTCACTCGTAAATACTACAATTTGATTTGATTGAATTTCAGTGTCCCGAAATGAGGTCATAATCTAAACGATCGAACGTAGTAATCAAAGTTTTTGCAGACTCTCTAAAATAATGATTAAACAGGAATCGTTCTGTGATGCGCTTAATGATTTATAGTTGAGTGTTATTTTACAGCGGATACCTTAGCGGGCCCAGGACCCATGGCACTCAAAGCTATTCATACCAGGCAAGTGTTCTTCACCCGAGAGGCATGATACCAGTACGTAGCCCCGGAGATTTTATATTTATCTACATGGCGCAGTCCAATTGGGCTGAAGAAAATAGATGAGAGAAATTTCGCACCCAAGGAGCCCCGCAGTAAATCCGTCTCTCAACTGCATTCTAAAATAGTAGCCATTTTACCCTGTATTTTTTTTAATCTTTAGGTCCTAAGCTATGCTCTATATCTCCTAGGAGGAGGGCAAGACTAAACACCTGTACGCGGTGTCCTCTACGAACCTGGGAGTGAAATATTCTCCCAGAGCCAAGTTCAGTCAAATTTCGCAATATCAAAGAAGTTGGCCCACGAGGCCAAATTTCAAATTACTCCACCAAGTCAATCTTTCATTCCCAAAGAGTCCGATTCTCAACTAAGCTTCATCAAGTCTACAAGTATGACCTAGTACATCCTCATCCCAATGACCACAACACTCTTTGACCTTCTCTGGACTCAGTTGACCACCAAATACACGCCCACGTCGATATTTACACCTGACGGAGGGCACAAAGCGTGTAGCACAAATCTGGGAAACAGCTCTTTGGGATGGACGTGAGAGGGATCAGGACAAGTTTACAAGATGATGCAAAGGATGCATACAGCCTCGACGGGCGTGGAATTTTGAGTTTTGGAAAGGAGTTCTTACAAATTGAGCTTTGTGCGTGCCAAGACTTCGGTTGCGAGAGTGCAGGCGACACTACAAACACCGCCATGGTCGGATGGTGCAGTGATATATCATCTAGGCCGGTCTATCATGAAGGTCTAGATAGCTTGGACACATATCCCACTTGACACAGTAGATCGCTGGTTCAAATCCAGCAAAACACAACCACATTTCTCGCGGCGCTGGTATGCATGGATGACGAAGGCATGCTTGGATAATCAAAGGTTTCGAAATTCCCTTTGGTTGGTACACACGGAGGAGGGTCGACTGTTTGTGTAAGCAAGCATACCTTATAGTGGTATTTGCGAATGAAATCCAGAGTATGAGTGTCTTTAACGTCAAAAGAGTCTTCCAATATGTAAACATAGCACCGGTCATGTGTCACAGCTTTATAGCTGAATACACATTAAATGATTTAAAAAAAAATATATATATATATCTCCTAGGAGTCAAGGACCGCTGCACACGGCCAAGATCGTACTTCCCACATGCCCGACTCGATCTCACCACATGACCCACTACACAACAAGTAGCTAGTTATAAGAAAGAAAATAAATACTCCTACAAACTCCCATAACCAAAATTCCAAACCCCATAATCCTGTTTGTGGTTGGAAAATGACACTTCTTGTCTCATTTTCCTACCTGCCATGCTTCGTGCTATGATTTAGTTACTGTTACGGGAATACTCTCTTGTGTGTGTACTGTCTGCGCCAGTACGGTAGAGGTGGAATTTAGTGTCTAGTCAGCTATTGAGACTACCAATGGTGGAGATTGGAAACGGTTGCTAAGCAACGGAGGCTGTTATGATCAGCGTCGCTAATTTAAATCCATTATGTAAACAGCAAGACGTAGGAGACCTTTCGTCCTTACATTTCGTTTATTTACCGATTTTATTCTGGACTTGGCCTGCCGCATACCAACACCAATTGATCCGGCGACAGTGAATGCCGTCTACTCTGAGAGATGGAGACGGACTCGCAGCTGGGCCCCCGAAGCAGCCTGTATTTACTTATTCATTTATTGTCCTGTTTGAGTCTATGACTATATAGGACATACAGGTCTTCTCTGCTTACATGCCAAGGATACCTATACTAGTAGCATATCCCCCCCTATGCCTCCCATACAGCTCCCCTCAAACAGTACCGCCCATAAATATTCCTCGTTCGATCATACACTTAGAAGAGCCCTTTTCCCTTCATTATATTCCCTCTCCAGCCAACGAATCAATGGCCATTTGTGGATGTATGGCAGCCGGGAAAAGTCGCAAAATCCATTGGGTGCGGAGCGCTATTAATATCGATATTAGGAATAAATCCGAAGACATAGTGATCCCTCTGAAGCGTTCGAAGAGGCTAGCCAGCTCGGCGCTGCAGACTTGTGGGTACCTCGGGAAATTCACCCTCTGCCTTTCTAGCCTCCTTCCAACCCTTTCCCAAAGATCGTGCTGAAATATCAGAAGAGTCTTCAGAGACCTGTTCTCCCTCAAGATATATAGCCCCATTAGAGGGACAGTCCCGCATAAATCGTGACCCGAGCTTTGTATATTATGACTCAACTTTCTCCTTGCGGTTTTACGTAGCGTCGTAAATTTGTAGTGGGTGATAGCTCGTGACGAATGAGGCAAGCTCCTGTTTCCAATTGGGGTGACGCGTTTACCTGTCGTCGAGGCGAGATGATGTGTGGTTAGAGAGAGGTTGAGGACTCAGAGGAGAATGATAAGTGCTGCACGGTTGATAAGTCGTCAAATGGAGATATGCATGTGTTTGCTTTCGACTTTGATTCGGATGCGATTCTTCTTGGCTACCCCAGATATGTAGAGCATACTGAGCGATTACACCGGCACCACTGGAAGGTGAAGAAAGCGTCTTTGCCGGCGGCTACTGTTTTACGTACATTTGTGTTGACAGGACTTAAGCACTAGTGCTGGGGAATGGAAATACAGTGTACTGAAATGAATATATTATTACATCTATCTAGGGTGTTTCGAACGTCTATGGATTACATGAGACGCACAGGCCTCTCTAGATTAGTCAGCTAATATTATCTGCCGAGCCTAATGGTCTGAGGTCACAACATCCAACCCGAGTGAAATCAACAATATATATCATTCATTATCCTGATTTGGCGCCTTGAGGCTCATGCAGGTTTTTATCGGAAGATATGTACTCTAAGTAAGATGACTCAATTTGACGATTAGAACACTCACACTCAGATTTCATTTGCAGATACCACTCGAGGTTAACCCTTACGGCGTACAACCTCTTCCGTGCATAATCACCACAGCGAAAAGCGTGAAAAACCTGTGGCTAACTGAGTGTGCTTTCATCATCCCACAGGTACAATATAACCGCGAGAGACAGTGGTGAGTGGGTCTTACTGGGTTCTAACCAACTTTCTCCTGCCTCAAATGGGGTAGGTGCCCAGGCAACTCAGACTATATCATAGAACACCACCAGGAGGCGGATCACAACACCTTCCATCGTTGGCTTGTGTTTATAGTGTCAGCTGCACTCTCGCAAGCGAAGTCTTGGCGCGCACAAAGCTCAATTTGTAAAAACTCCTTTCCAAAATTCAAAATGAGACGCCCATCGAGTTTGTATCCTTCCTTTGCATCATCTTGTAAACTTGTCCTGATCCCTCTCACGTCCATCCCAAAGAGCTGTTTCCCAGATTTGTGCTACACGCTTTGTGCCCTCCGTCAGGTGTAAATATCGACGTGGGCGTGTATTTGGTGGTCAACTGAGTCCAGAGAAGGTCAAAGAGTGTTGTGGTCATTGGGATGAGGATGTACTAGGTCATACTTGTAGACTTGATGAAGCTTAGTTGAGAATCGGACTCTTTGGGAATGAAAGATTGACTTGGTGGAGTAATTTGAAATTTGGCCTCGTGGGCCAACTTCTTTGATATTGCGAAATTTGACTGAACTTGGCTCTGGGAGAATATTTCACTCCCAGGTTCGCAGAGGACACCGCGTACAGGTGTCAAGTCTTGCCCTCCTCTCCGAGAATTACTAACTTGCATTATTAAGGACATAACCCCTCTAGATGCAACTTGGGATGCAAAGCATAACCCGAGGTTGAGCACGGACGCCTCTCTATTTAAATAATCTGAAGCGATTTGCTAATTAGCATATCTACAACTTGCAACTAGAACTATCTAACACATATTTGGCGAAAACGTGACGCTGTTCTCCATTGTGAAAGAATTATCTTAACACTATCGCCCATCTATAATTATGTTTGGATTATTCGGAGAACGTAGGTCACCTTATCAACAAATAACTTGCATATTTGGCTGAAAATTTGAAGCACCCCCAACATTAAGTGCAGCTGAGATAAAGAAACAAGAAGAAGAAGCATTTAGCACAATCCAAAGTGTTCTCATCGGCTCAGCTGTTCTGTATCTATGTAAGCCATCTTCTTTGAAACTTGATTAATCTAATTTCTCCACCCAGCACCATTTGCAGTTGACGCTATAATTAAGTTGCTATAAATGAATCAAAGAAATCCTTGGTCTAGACTTTCTAGCAGTAAAGACTCCAGAAATTTGTCCACTAACTCTCGACATGAAATTTGCATTAAGCACTTTGTTTCTCAAATTATGTCAGAAAACTATACCTGATTTCAATTTTTATTTATGTAACCTCAACCAACAGACGGGATAGGAGTTTAATAAATCAGAGATAAAGGTCTCAGCGATTTATATGTTAGCGAGCTCGGTATTGAATGGATATCCAGACCTCCACATACGATCTGGATGAACTACTATCAATGAGTGCTTTGCACTGTTAAATCGGGACATTTACAATGATAAGCTCGCCATCCGTGGATTTTGGATTTCTGTGATCTCAGCGAAAATTGTTAGCAGGGTATTGAAACACAAAAAGTTCTACGATATCAAATTCGAGAAATTTCATTCAGTGGAGATCCTTGCTGATAATGTAAAATACTGGAACAAGTGCAATACCCAGTCAACTTACAAAGAAAAAACCCCTCCATCAGTTAAAGCTCCTTATGGTTACCATTTGAATATTGAACCAATCCGACTTCTCCCACAATAACCATCAAAATATAAGTCATCTCGATAAACCCAGGCTAACTCACCTCATAAAAAATTCCTATAGCCCGTTCTTTCAGTCTAATGCAATTACGAGAAAATTGACAATCTAACCACTATTATTGAGTGTATCTAAAACTCTTTAAATTTCTTAAGTTTCTCCTGCTGATAAACTCATTATATCTTAACTGAAAGCTCGATTACTATTGGTTTATCTATTTGTTTTGAATTCATTTTCCTGATTTCGCGCCCCATGGGCCCATGCGGGTGGCTATAAACCTTTCTTTGTATTTACACAGGAGAAAACCTCTTGGTAAAAACCTCCCCAGCTTCCTGATTTGTATCTTTGGAATTTGCAATTTATCCTTCAGGAAGCACAGTTACACTGTAGTGCCGTCTGCATGTACCAATCACGTCCCTTCTATCGACCCTAACCTTGTGCCACTCCCATCTCGTTCCCTAATCAGCATTTCGACTGCATTTGTCAAGCGGAATTTTTCTATCCAACCATGACTTGGAATCCATTGCGTAATTCTTTTAATATTGCCAGAACTGTCTACCACTGCTTCAAAGGAGCGTTTCCGGGCTTTTCTCCAGATATCACCCCTACCGCTTGACCACTCAGAGCAGTACATTTTTTTTAACGAATGGGTCCTAGTCTAAAGCTCTTTATCCACATTGGGTCAAGGACCGGCGGATACGGCAGGGTTCCCTGTAACTTTTCCTACAGCCTAGACTCGTTCCAGCCTCGTGAATCGCTGCCAAAGGTGTAGCTGATTAAACAAAAACAAAAAATCACGAAAATCAAAACAACTCCGAAAGACAAAAGATTCCTCCACATTGGACCCAAGCAATGCGCTCCTCATACATTCCGTCGTCCGTCACACCTTCCAGATGAAAAATTTGCCCATTCTACGCTGAGAGCAAAAGATAGGTTAGCAGGCACCTTTAATCCAGCCGGTGTCCTACTTTTGGTTAGTAGATGTGCCAGAAAGGACATCGTCGAGGTCGCTGTATCCTCAAACTTCTTCTTCAGATTCCAGCACTCCGAAACCTATTGCCTCGGCCATCGAGACATCCTTCGCCACGGCGATTATCGTCTCCTCGGCCTTTTTAGATGCAGTAGGGCAGTACATGATCATGATTATGTGCTTGGAATTTTGTGATTGGTAGACACACTGACAGCATGAATCGTAGACTTCTGGTTCTTTTCTTCTGTGCAAATACGATTTAAACCTGATGTGCTCGCTTCGTATTTGCATCGCTAGACTACTTTGGGCCCTAGTCAGATTTCGGTGGGGTAGAAATGGCGATTTCTGGAGGCTCGTTCTCCAACGCTCCGACTTTCGGTTCTGATAGAACCTGACTGCTCTCCAGGTTTCAGGTTCGACAACTGCTTTATGTCGAGGTAATTGGAGCCGCCTTTGATTTTTCCAGGATTTAGCCCATTCTTGGTATGTTGCGGCTTTTTCTGCCGTTTTTTAGACTGAGTTTCCCCACAAATTTCCACCCAGTTTGCCAGATCTAGTCTCCTGTTATTTGCGCGAATATCTCCTCTCCCTCGTATGGGCAGTTTGATATTACCACAGGCAGATTGTATGAGCTTCTGAACTGGTAGGTTTTTCGAGCGGCCAACGTATTGGAGTCTGCTATTTCAGGTAGATTTCTATCGGTAGGATGGCGGTTCCCTTATCGTACACTCTCGTGCTATTCGACTTATACGCTTCTGTAACTATTTTTAAGTAGTTTCTTTGAATGCTTCGGAGGATTTTACATTGATGTTACAACGATTATACTTTATTTTCATTTTCAATTCATTTACCCAATTTGGCGCCTTATGGGCCTATGTAGGTGTCTATTATACTTTCTAATTTACATAGGAAATCTTTTTGGTTAAAACCCCCTCAACTTTTCAATTTGTTTTCACTTTGATTCTTTGTTACCTCAAAGTGCACTAACACTGTAATGTGCAGTGCGGATACCGTCCACTTCCTTGCTACGGGTAGAAGTGTTTCTTCCTTCTATCCTCTTCTCTCGCCCTCATCGTGGCCTTGGATTCAAGTGTCATTCGAAACTTCTCAAGCCGTCCTTCCTGCTGGATCCATCTAGTTATCCTTACAATATCTTTGGGATTATTCATCATCGCCTCAAATGACCAGTTCTCTGCCTCTCTCAGTACCTCTCCTCTTCCTCTGGCCCAGCTGGTGCAGACCATGATCATGTGCTTCACATTCTGGGACGGGTATCCACACTGACATCGTGGATTGTCTACTCCAGGAACTCTTCTTCGGTGCATATAGGAATTGAACCCAATTTGTTCGCTTCTTATCTGCATGGCTATGCTGATCTGGGCTCGCTCAGGCATTCATGGTGACTGTAACGTGCTCCTCTTTGGTTCATTCCTGTCCTTTCCATCTCATCATCAGGGAAGATGTTCGATGCTTTCAAAATATTAGGATCTACCGTTAGGTGATGGTAAGTAGGCTGCCTGGCCGTGAGTCCCGTCCAAGATAGTTCCCACTCTTTGTATGCGGCGAACTTTCCGGCCGCTTTTATCCTTTCCTTCGTCAATATAGTCCCACATATTCGGCCCCAATCCGCAATATTCAAGGTCCTCGTGAGAGCTCGTGCAACCTGCCTTCCAGCTCGGAGTTACTTAATCTTCCTAAATTCCGACAAGGTTATTGTATCTTGAACAGGTAGGCTTTTCGATAGTTCGACGTATTGGACCCTCCTTTGTTTCCGATAAATTTCCGCCGGTAAGGTAGAGGTCTGTTTTTTTTTGCATCAGATTTCAATTACGTATGCAGCTATCTAGCTTTGATACAATATTAAACAAAAGTATATAATAGATGATTTAATAAACAAGAAGAGCACTCGTTTCTCGGATTTCATTTGGAAGTACCACTGCGAAGTTATGGTAGCTTTTTCTTTACCCCAAGTCAACCCTCATCCGTGAATACCCACGCAGGGGAACGTCTCAAAAACCCTGAGATATCCAGACATGCCTCCGTCATCCATCAGATTTTCTTCGCGCGAAATGTAATCCGAGATGTCTCCTTCCCAAGTGGAGTAGGTGCCCAGGCTACTCAAACCATACCAGAGAACACCACCAGGAGGCGGACCACAACACCTTCCATCGTTGGCTTGTGTTTATAGTGTCAGCTACACTCTCGCAAGCGAAGCCTTGGCGCGCACAAAGCTCAATTTGTAAAACTCCTTGCCAAAATTAGGTATCTCACGCTCTTCGAGTTTGTTTCCTTCCTTTGCATCACCTTGTGAACTTGTCCTGATCCCTCTCACGTCCATCCCAAATAACTGTCTCCCAGATTTGTGCGCCACGCTTTGCTTCCTCTGTCGGGTGTAAATATCGGCGTGGGCGTGTATTTGGTGGTCAACGGAGGCCAGAGAAGGTCAAAGAGAGGTATGGTCATTGGGATGAGGATGTACTAGGTCATACTTGTAGACTTGATGAAGCTTAGTTGAGAATCGGACTCTTTGGGAATGAAAGATTGACTTGGTGGAGTAATTTGAAATTTGGCCTCGTGAGCCAACTTCTTTGATATTGCGAAATTTGACTGAACTTGGCTCTGGGAGAATATTTCACTCCCAGGTTCGTAGAGGACACTGCGTACAGGTGTTCAGTCTTGCCCTCCAATCTATGTTCTACCTCGCTTAGGTAGAAACATTATGTTCTAATTACGTGATGGGATAACATTCCCACCACCGAGATCATTACCAACCGAGACCACACCAAAGCTGTTAGTGATCGAAGATGAGTAGTCTTCGTCCACTCCGCACTGCGTTCAGCTCGGTCTGGTATGTCTAGATTTCAACAGGAAACACTCGTCAAAACCTTTGTAGGCCCTAGAGCAGCAGTGTCACACATTCAAGTGATCAACTCGAGTTCATCGATCATTTATATTGAGGAAACGATTCAAAATTATAAAACTTACTCTGCCAATAGGAGAAGCATTATCAAAACTTAAACGATGTAGTTATAACTTACGCTAGATGGGCCAACTTACGGGGAGGGCTGCTGCGAATGTCAACAATCCTGTCTTTCGAAGTAGCTATAAATGACGTCAGATGTAGAGCCAGGATACCCCATGAATTCGAGGATCTGACAGGAGCAGTTTCGGCTGATAAAGAGATTGAGGCTGTATTCGGGGAATGTGGAAGGTGAGGAAGATATGAAACAGACGGAACCTACACTAGCGATAAAGTTAAGCCCCCGATTCCTAGAGGTATGTCGGTAATGGCGCAGAATTAACGCGGATAGCTGAGGAGTCTATACCGTAGAGTTTACTCCTGTGTAAATTATGTAGTTCGATGTGAACCTGCAGGAGCCCACAGGGTATGAAACTCGGCTAAGTATATAGAAAATTTGAAAAAATACATCAGATGTAAACATTTTGCTTTAATAATCACATGCCATAACTGCTACCGTTTTCACCAAAAAAAGTTGTTGGATGCTGACATGGAAAGCTCCAAGAGGTAGACTTTGTGGTACTGGAACATTTTAATCGGATTTATAGATAAGATGCCAGTGGATGAGATGGGCTTCTAGGGCGCTTTCACCTCAACCAGTTCCACAATTGGTGTGCTATCAATTATCGCTGTCAATCTCCTGATAAGCTTATCTCCCTATTGTCTACAGGGATCTCTTCCCAACAATGCTTTAAGCTAGAGTATATTACATAATACACTATGAGAAATTCCCTGACCGAGTCAAATTGTCTGGGAAATTGGATGTTTAGGTACAGGAATAGGCGTTATGGTTTAACATCGCTCGAAAAATTCCTAACAAATACATATCTTTACTGCAATTGAATTTTTTCTTAACAATCTTCATCTGAGAAAAAACATGGCTGCTTCCGCCCTTGCTATACGAGCCCAGCTTGGCCGAGTTGCAAGATATTATGGAAACTCATCAAAGAGCCTACGGCAATCTCGTCAGACATTGTCAAGAAATTCAGCCCTCAAAGTCTGCGCTAAGTACCCAAATGTCAACCTGCGGACTTTTCATAATAATTCAGCCGAAAGTCCTCGTCCCCCAACGAACTCTGAATCCCATCTTCCACTTGACACATTCGCAAGGCGGCATATCGGGCCATCGGAGGACAGTATTCAAGAAATGTTGAAAGCCTTAGATCCTCCTGTGGAAAGCCTAGATGAGTTTGTGAAGCAGGTCTTGCCAGCAGACATTTTATCGAGCAAAAATCTAAAGATAGATACTAAACAATCTGCACATGGAGATGCTTTTACGGAATCTGAAGTGCTGGAGATACTAAGGAAAAAAATGGAAAATGAAGAGTTTAAATCGGTCAGGACATTTATTGGCTGCGGATATACAAACACTATAGTACCTGAGGTAATTAAAAGAAACGTCCTGGAAGGTCCTGGATGGTATACCAGCTATACACCATACCAGCCTGAGATATCACAAGGTCGATTAGAATCTTTGTTAAATTTTCAGACTCTTGTCTCCGACTTGACTGCGCTCCCGATTTCAAACGCCTCACTTTTAGATGAAGCTACCGCTGCCGCGGAGGCTATGACTCTTTCCATGAATGTCTCACCATCCTCAAAGCATAAAAATCCTAACAAAACGTTTTTCGTTAGTCATCTTGTTCACCCGCAAACAAAAGCCGTCATACAAAGTCGGGCTGATGGTTTTGGAATAAAAATAGTGTTTGGTGATGCTCTTGCTAACGACGGAGAAGAAATAAAAAATATTGGTGCTGATCTTATCGGGGCCCTTGTGCAATATCCTGATACTGAAGGGGGAGTAGAAGACTTTAAAGGACTTGCTGAGATAATTCATCAACAGGGTGCAATCTTCAGCGTCGCAACCGACCTTTTGGCACTAACAGTTCTAACCCCACCAGGAGAGTTTGGAGCAGATATTGCTTTCGGTAGTTCTCAAAGACTGGGAGTGCCTCTAGGCTTTGGTGGTCCTCATGCTGCATTTTTCGCTGTAAACGATAAGCTTAAACGGAGAATACCTGGACGATTAATCGGTATTTCTAAAGATAGATCAGGAAAGAAGGCTTTGAGACTTGCTCTCCAAACACGAGAGCAACATATCCGACGTGAAAAAGCCACCAGCAATGTTTGTACGGCGCAAGCTTTACTTGCAAATATGAGTGCATTCTATGCTATTTACCATGGTCCTGATGGCCTTAAAAATATCGCGGAGAAGATAATCACCAGCGCTCGCTCCCTCGAAGACGGCCTTCGGGTGCTTGGTCTCGAAACTGGAACTCGAGGAAAGGGGAAAGATGGGAAGGTTCTTTTCGATACAGTTGTTGTCCAAGTTCCGGGTAGGGCTCGCGAAATCCAAAATCTTGCGTTGTCAACCCAAAAAATTAACCTGAGGCTATTTGACGAAGACCGAATCGGTATAACTGTTGATGAATCTGTTAACGCCTCTGATTTGAAAGATATTCTTTCAATTTTTAGCCTACATATGAAAAACCACGGCAAAAGCTCGGCCGACGCTGATAAGATGATTGAGAGCGCATTCAAAAAGCAGTCTCTTGATATTCCATCAGTGTTAAAAAGATCATCAAAGTACCTTACGCATCCTGTGTTCAACTCCTATCACTCCGAGACAGAGATACTCCGGTATATCCATCATCTACAATCTAAGGATCTCTCATTGACTCATTCAATGATCCCCCTAGGATCCTGCACCATGAAACTCAACTCTACCAGCGAAATGATTCCCGTCAGTTGGCCAGAATTTTCAAATGTTCATCCGTTTGTACCGGAAAACCAAACAAAAGGCTACAGGAGTATAATTAACGAACTTGAAACTGATTTATCAGAGTTAACTGGCTTCGATGCTGTTTCCCTTCAACCCAACTCCGGAGCCCAGGGGGAGTTCACTGGACTTCGAGTTATTTCAAGGTATCAACAAGAGAAGTCTGGTAAAAAACGAGATGTTTGCTTAATTCCTGTCTCAGCACACGGAACTAACCCCGCTTCGGCCACCATGGCTGGCATGCGTGTGGTCACTGTCAAGTGCGACACAAGTACAGGAAACTTAGATCTAGCTGATCTCAAAGCGAAATGTGAAAAATACAGCGACGAGCTTTCAGCAATTATGGTTACGTACCCCAGCACTTTCGGAGTCTTTGAGCCAGAAATCAAACAAGTTTGTAAACTTGTCCACGAACATGGTGGACAGGTTTATATGGACGGCGCGAATATGAATGCACAAATTGGGCTATGTACACCTGGTGATATTGGTGCAGATGTGTGTCACCTAAATCTACACAAAACATTTTGTATCCCTCATGGTGGTGGCGGTCCAGGAGTTGGCCCCATTGGGGTGAAGGCTCATTTGGCTCCATTTCTCCCTGGTCACCCTATCATCAAAACGGGCGGCGAAAATGCCATTGCACCCGTAAGCGGTGCTCCTTTTGGAAGTGCCTCTATCTTACCAATTAGCTGGACATACATTAAAATGATGGGTGGACGTGGCCTAACGCATGCAACTAAGGTTACGCTTCTAAACGCTAATTATATTATGTCTCGTTTGCGTCCGCATTATCCCATCCTTTACACTAACTCCAACCTTCGCTGTGCTCACGAATTTATATTGGATGCTCGAGGCTTCAAAGAAACATGTAAAATCGAAGCTATTGATATTGCTAAGAGATTACAGGATTATGGATTCCATGGTCCGACCATGTCATGGCCTGTTGCAAATACATTGATGATCGAACCTACGGAATCTGAAAGCAAGGCAGAACTGGATCGTTTTATTGATGCTCTTATCTCTATACGAGCTGAGATCCGGGACATTGAGGAAGGTAGAGTATCAAAAGAGATGAATGTAATGAAGATGTCACCCCATACTCAAGCAGATCTAATCATAGGCGAATGGGATCGCCCATACAGTCGTGAGCAGGCTGCCTATCCGTTACCCTGGCTCAAAGAAAAGAAATTCTGGCCCACTGTAACAAGAATCGATGATGGTATGCTTTCCTATATTAGCATGAATTCTACAACTAATTATTATTTTAGCATATGGTGACACCAATCTTTTTTGTACTTGCCCTCCCGTGGAGCCTACCGACTAAAAGTCTTTAGCACTGAAACCAGACTTTGAACTATAAAAAATATGTGCTTACACTAATCCTTGCGGATAAATAAGAATAAATTTGAGCGATTCCAACAAACTCAATGGTCAATAAAGGAAAATTTGGAGCATTTTGATGCTAAGGGCATCCCCAGACTATATGGAGTTAATCACCGAATTTTAAATTATAAACTTGGGAACTAGGCGGAAAGAGGAACTTGGTTAGAATTCCAATAGAAACCGCTTCACGCGCTGGATATCATTGTCGTCTAGCCTAGATTTTGAGATGAATGAGTCAAAATCCAATTGAATTGGGCGAATATTATCAGAGACTTATCAAGCTTTTCTAGAAGTCTCTATCATATTTACCTGTGTCCTGACCGGGATTAAACATTCAACAAGATCTCTTAATTTACGTGATCCCCCTTATCACTGATTTTGTATGACGAGTCAGATAAGGATATAAGATCCCTATGATATTAATAGTATCTGTTTATTCTCTTTGTATTTTAATGATTCCGCCGAAAATTTCTCCCACCAAGTCCATGAAATTTTGACGCAAACAATATGGTTAGTTTTTGAAACGGAGGGAATATTTACAAAATAAGAATAATAAATAGAAATCATACTTTTATCTGCAACTAATTCTTAATTTATGTTTATCTACTAAAATCCAATGATCTTATATCTTGACGAAACTATTTCTTGTTCGGGCCTAAGAAGATGAAAGGGACTGAGACGGACGAGGTCAACCGCCCTAAAAGTATAAATAAATCGAGTCTCATCTACATAATTAGAGTCATGCAGGAATAAAAATTCTAGCTCAAATATGTCAAGTCCGACCGTACACAGAACCCGACATTTGCGCGCACAAACGCAAATTCCTCAATCAACTCTGCCACCGCGTGTTAGCTGTCTTCCAATCTTTACAGCCTTTAGATTTTCTATTTCTCAAATCCTATCTGCGCCTCGTTCCAGCATCTCATTTCACATAAGAATCATTTTCTTTTAGGAGACCCCATCCGCTTTTTTTCCCTTTAGCCTTTCCATTAAGACATCTCCTTGGTTAGTTTTCAGTATTTCAAATCAAAAACTCCAATATCTTTCTGTCCTCCAATCTTTTCCAATCACTACCGTGAGGATCCCAGATTAACAGACATCCATATAAGTACGAGGCTCTGATAAATTGTAATGCTTATGTAATGTTGTTCACGTTGGAGTCCGGGCGCATGATAAGGAATGCGGTAGTTGAATAGACGATATCCTGTATTATATATATACATATATATATATATATCATTTTACCTGATTTGGCGCCTTGAGGCCCATGCAGGTTTTTATCGGAAGATATGTACTTTAAGTAAGATGACTCAATTTGACGATTAGAACACTCACACTCAGATTTCATTTGCAGATACCACTCGAGGTTAACCCTTACGGCGTACCACCTCTTCCGTGCATAACCACCACAGGGAAAAGCGTGAAAACCCTGTGGCTATCCGAGTGTGCTTTCATCATCCCACAAGAACGATATCACCGCGAGAGAGAGTGGTATGTGGGTCTGACTGGATTCGAACCAGCTTTCTCCTGTCTCGAATGGGGTAGGTGTTGAAGCTACCCAGTATCTACTTGGGAGAACGGCCCGGATGGTGTACCACTGCACCATCCAGCCCCGATACCCTGTATTATTAACTTGACAAGGGCCCAAAGCAGTTTGGCAATGCAAATACGAAGTGAGCACATGAGGCTTAATTCGTATTTACACAGAAGAAAAGTACCCGGAGTATCAAGTCCAGGTTGTCCATGCGGCTACCAATCACAGAACCCCAAGCATATGATTATGTCCTGCCCCCGATGGTCAAATGATAGAGCTGAGATCTGGAGACAAGACAAAGATCGATCCTACGAAGCGATGATAAATAATCCTGGAGATATAAAAAGGATAACACAGTGGATCCTAAACCACAGTTGGATAGAGCAATTCCAGATGACAAAAGCGGTCGAAATACTGCTGAGGGAGGATAGAGATGATCTGGTTAGTTTACATGGATGGCACTGTAGTGTAACTGCGCTCCCTGAAGAAAATTTGTGAGAACTATAGACAACAAATAGAAAGATGTGGGAGGCTTTCACCATAAAAGTTTCCTCCCGGGTAAATATTATAGATTGTAGACACCCGCATGGGCTCATAGGGCGCCAAATCAGGATAATGAAATCAAATTCAGATACCCTGTATTAATAGTAAATCAAGCCGGCAAAGACGAATTCTTCACCTTCCAGTGGTGCCGGTGTAATCGCTCAGTATGCTCTGCATATCTGGGATAGCTAAGAAGAATCGCATCCGAATCGAAGTCAAAGCAACCTCAAATATATCTCCAACTGACGACTTCTCAATTATGCAGCACTTAACATTCTCCTCTGAGTTCTCAACCACTCTCTAACCACACATCATCTCGCCTCAATGACCGATAAAGGCGTCACCCCAATTGCAAACAGGAGCTTGCCCCATTAATTTCCAGCCATCTCTCTCTACATATTTACGACGCTATTTATACCCGCAAGGAGGAAATCAAGTCGACAAATACAAAGCCTGGGTCTTGGCTTATGGGGGACTGTTGCTCTAATGGGACAAACAAATTGAGGGAAAACTGGTGCCTGTGATGTGGAGCGAGATGGGGAACATGGCTCTGAAGACCATGTTGTGACTGATATTTTCGAGTAATTTTCAACTTTGGATTTTTTGTGGGCGCCAAGACCAAGGTTTCAGGTAATAAGTCAGGAGGACTTCAATTGTCGATGAGTCAACGGCTTTCCCCAGCGTCCTGGACGGCACAAAAGAAGCTGGGCTAAGCAACCATATAGCAATCACGCTCTGTCAAGACTTTTCTGAGATTTCAGCACGATCTTTGGGAAAGGGTTGGAAGGAGGCTAGAAAGGCAGAGGGTGAATTTCCCGAGGTACCCACAAGTCTGCAGCGCCGAGCTGGCTAGCCTCTTCGAACGCTTCAGAAGGATCACTATGTCTTCGGATTTATTCCTAATATCGATATTAAGAGCGCTCCGCACCCAGTGGATTTTGCGACTTTTCCCGGCTGCCATACACCCACAAATGACCATTGATTCTTTGGCTTAAGAGAGAAGATAATGAAGGGCAAATGGCTCCTCAAGTGTATGATCGAATGAGGAATTGTGAGGGGCGGTACTGTTTGAGGGGAGCTGTATGGGAGGCATAGGAGGGGATAAACTGGTGGTATAGGTATCCATGGCCTGTAGGCAGAGAGGACCTGCATGTCCTACATAGTCATAGACTCAGATAGGACAATAAAATGAATTAATATCCCTGTCCACAATTACCATCAATCTCTGCTATCTATCGCAATCCTGAGTATCATTATGAGTTAATATTATACGGTATGTTTATAAGGGTTGATATCAAGATAGAAATGTTAATAGGTGAATTGGATCAAGTTGGTTTGAACGCTACAACGAAGGGAGATATAGATTAATACGCGCACCTCATGTGGTCCCATTGTCGAGGCCTCGCCTGGCTGAGGCTGCAGGTTTTTTGGAGACTTTTTCCCACGCACGTAGTCTCTACTGCTACCTTTTTAATCTTTTTTTTTGAGTAGAAGGTTCCATGGAAAAGGAAGCTGGATTTCACGAGTAATTACTGTGCTGAATGGCTATTCATCATGGGCAATATCAATGATCTTTCAAGAAACATGAGAGGCAAGGAGCACTGTACAAGGTACGGCCTGGACCAAAAAGAAGCCCAATGTGCAAGATAGTCTAAGATTCAAGTAGAACAATAAATAAACTCACTCACAGTCTTGTAGTTCGCAGTCTTTGTGTGCCTATGTTTTCAATGTAAAAACAGGGTTTAACCCACGGTGACTATCAGAACGTATATAGCAGATTTATTACATACAGTACCATGAAATTAAAGCTTCTTAGATAGCTTTAGCAGTCCTTCATAATCTTGGACTCACTAGGGGCTTTGATTCTATTCAATTTATTGTGAAAATCCTTCACGAATATCGGAATTTCAACTCTTCCGAAATTGTATTCATGCTAAGCATAATTCTGCTTATCCTTCCTGATATCACTTACGTTTAGCCTAAAAATCTGCATCGCTTTATTTTTTACCATGCATCATTACTTCCCGTAGATATTTATAATTTGTGGGCGTAAATTTTGTAGCCAGCTGAGACCAGAGAATAGTCAAAAAGAGGTATGGTCATTGAAATGAGGATGTACTTTACTGTGCTTGCAGATCTGAGAAATCTTTGGTCGGTGGCTATCATGTCAGGAGTGAAATTTTGATTCGTTGGGCCAATTCTTTCGGTTTTGCTATGTTTCAATATTAGCTAAGGGAAAATATACAATCCCAGGTACGTAGAGGATATCACTATTAGGTGTTCTATTTTCCTCCTACTATCTGACGTTAGCCGAGGCTAGGATGTTGGAGATCAGGTCCAACATCAACGCCTCATCCAAGCTACTGCATTCGGAATAGATGGTCTAAGCTCTTTGAAGGGTAAGTGAGGCTGGCAGGTAGGACGTCCTCGTGGTGAAATCGCTGACAAAGCTAAGCTTAGTGCTTAAGTCCAAGAAGAGCTGCATAAAGGTGACCTGATCCGAGACTATCCTGATATGCAAGCTACTGTGTCCTCTCGGAGCTTGTGCTGGTAGCATGATACTTGCATCTCGCGGGCCTTTCACGGATTAATTTTTATTGACTCTGACGTCGGGTGATAACAGAAGGCTGGTCCTTGCCTTGTGCAGCCCTCGCCTAGCCAAATGAGGCTAGAGACATGGGACGAATAAGCATGTGCACTGGCGAAGTGGCTTGTCAAATCTCTGGTTTTTACCGCCGTTAATACGTTCTAATTCACAAATCCGATTGCCTGGACTACAGTATATCATTATCCTAGGACGCTCGCAGTTTTTCTATCTTTATCATGGAAAGCTCTCATGGCAACACCAACGGTTCTGGCTTCAAAAATTTATGTATAGGCATTGAGATGTGATATAATTTTAAGCCCGGGATGACGACATTCGCCAAGAAAACTCCTTGTCGTTCTCTACTGCCGCGTGCGAAACAAAAGTATGTTAGTTAGAAAATATGAAGTCCTGTGTCGATGCTGAATTAACATGGGTAAAGACTTTGCGCGTGTTCACTTGACGATGATTCCGACCTATGTAAACTTCATTTTGTTCGTTATATACTTGTTCCATTCCGTTTTCTAGCCCGAGCATCAATAAGTCTGGTACATCTCCTTTGAAATACTAAATTCCACATTTCCTAGCTTCAAAGCTCGATGCCAATTATGATCGAACTTCCAGTTGCTATATTCGCCAGATGAGCCGAACGTAAAAGAGCAATATAGTATACACAAAAAAAGTCACAGCCAAATACTTGGTCACGATTCGATACAGGAGCCGTTTGTATAGATTCTAGTATCAGAAAGTTCTCGCACACAAAATCTCCAACTCTGGAGTTAAGTAACTTAGAACAGCTAAAAAGATATTATTTTGAATATGCTACGTTGTAGCATTTGCAATCTCCATCTTTTTAAAATTCAAAACTAGGTGCCATATAAAACTCAACATGACTTCGGGAAGGAGAAAAAACCCCACTTCGAATCCGGTAGGTAGGTTTTCTCCTTTTAAGCTTCAGACTGATATATGAAATCATAGCTTCTATTCTTTCGAAGTTTTCTGCAAATTTCTCATAAGAAAAAGGGCTAATATCTGCGCTTATAGCCCAGTAATGGATGCAATTCTAGCCCACTCATTAATCTTAAACCACCAGGTTTTGCCTTGTCTTCAGCCGCAGCAACTGCTGCTTTGCGATCACAAATTCACAACCCCGTAGCAATCGCTGATGTACAAACGAAACGGACGCTCAGGAGAAATGGCTCTCTATCATCGCATAGCAGTTATGTGTCAGGATGTAAAGGATCATGGTGTGAGCGGAGAAATAGTTTAACTTCGATGTCTGAACGTTCATTCCGAGATTCATATCCAACGTTATCGCAGACAGACGTAACTCTGCCTTCTATTCCTACCACTAAGCTCTCGGCTTCTCTAGCTAGCTCAAAAGCAATAGGAACTCATGACAATTTTAAATTGCAAAAAATAAGTCAAAACTCATTAAAGATAGAACCTAGAGTCTTAAAATCTTCAACCAAAACACAGAGCGGGCCAAGTACGCCAAAGCTACAAAACCTAGACCGACCAGCTAGTAAAGGGTCTGTAAATTTCTCTCTGCCAACAAGTTCTCGGCCGGCTTCGCCTGCTGCGCAAGAACAATTTCAACCTTTATCAAGTAGAAATTTCTCTTTCATGACCCCTAAGGAAAATCAGATATCAAAATCATATGATAACAGTGAAAAATTTTATACTAAGGGTATGATCCATTCTGAATCAAATGCAAAAGTTACTTTTGACCAAAGTTCGAAAAGGGTTGAATTAATGAATTTTGACTCTACCGAACGGCAGTCTAAAGTCGAAACAACGTGCAAAAAATCAAATGATTCACCGATATATGTTAACGAAACCCAAAAACCCCATGCTGCTGTTTGCTATCCTAGTATAAAACCTCCTACTAGCTCTGCATTGGGAGCTCTTTTTCCGGTTCCTGAATTTAGTGGACCTGAAATAGTTACCACCTGGGAAGGGAAAGGAAAGAAACTAGAAACTACCGATTGCTCGCTAGGACAACATACTTATAATAAGTCGCATGAAGACAGTATGAATATTACACGAGCTGATCCAATCACGTCCCAAATTTGTACATTATCAACCGAAGTCAAACCACGTGTGGATAATTTTAAGACCCAAAGTATGGATAAAAGATTTTCACTCAATTTTGGTACCTCTCGGATCACAAATTCGACTTCAGTACTCTCTGATAAATTAGTTGATTCATTCTCTTCCAAGTCAGAGCCGTATAATATATTTGATTTGGAAAAGCCTTCAGAGCCTATTAATCTTTCAGCTGATCAGTATATAAACCTTTCTAACAAGATAAAGCCACAAAACTTGACTACATCGTCCACATCAGGAGAACATTGTATTTCTAGAAATGAAAATCTATTAGGGGCAGGATTAACAACCTCTTCAGTCAGTAATATACGACATGTTAGAGCTCCACAAAATTCTATTGCCAGGCATAGTCCTCCGGAACGTGCAGTGTCTCCTCGAAAATCTGCTCTGAGAAGTCAAGGAGCTAGCTTTCAACGAGCATCATCTCCAATAGGAGCCGGGCTAGATTCTACAAAAATGCCTGTAACTGAGATCTCATCACCAAGAAAAAAGGCAGCTAGAGTTAGCTTTGATGAAAGAAATCTAATTGTTTGCGAGGATGCTGCCTCAACTGAGCAAACAGAGCTATCAGTGCCACAGTTTGAGCACTCATGGCTTGACACCAATAAAAAATGCTCAAATGATGATTTTCTTTTCATAAATGATGGTGATATGATGAAAAACAGACCTATACTACCGTCATTCGAGAGTCTTCGGGGAAAAAAGCTACCAAAGCTCGAAGAATGTATGTTTATAAACCCGATTGTTTCGACCGAAGCCATGGGCTCCCCCCTTTTAAACCTAGCTATTAAGATACCTGAAATCGAAGTAAATGAAAGCTTGGCTGAAAAACAGTACAATAGTGCGAACGAATCATTGTCAGCTCAAGAGACTACTCTTGAAAATATCGCAAAAACATCCGAAAATTACGAGTCTATCTCTTTGAAAAGTCTCTATAGCGAGAACCCTAAAGCAAATACTAGCTTTGATATCAGTTGGACTCTTTTATACCAAGAGAATCAGGTTAAAGACGCATCAAACTCTTTCAAGCCTACTGCCGAGAACGATACCAAAGCCACAAATAATCTTGGGCTATTAGGAAGTTCAGAGGGTACTTATTCAACAAATTCAACTAATTCAACAAAAACATCTAAAACAGCTAGTAAAAGGAATCAAGATTTTCTGAATCAAGGAATACAAGCAAACGATGACGTCTCAGCTACAGACCAGGATTATTTCCATATCCCCGGAGCTTGGTACTGCACAACCGAGATTCCCAATCAGAGCTCGTCTGTACTGGCTGAATCAAGTAGAGCATCTGAGGTCTCTGAAAATTCTAGTTTCAATCAATCAAGTAATAGCTCCAATATTATAGACAAATCCGGCGTGCTATACGCTATTGGTTTACCGTCTTCAGTACAACTTAGGTCTCATCAGTATCCATCATCTTTAGATAATTACATCGAAGATTCTGATAGTCAATCCGGTGTTGAAAGCATCTACTGTGACGCGGCTGAAGATGTCTCAGAGCTTAAATCAGATGAAGATTCTATTTCTCTCCGCACTATTGCTGGTAGATCTGCATCAAACCCTGCATTGAATAAAATTTCTGAAACTCCTCACTCTGACTACTCTGTCAAAAATTTGACAGAAATAGAGAACTCTCGATCAATCAATAGAACAGATAACACTTTCAAAAATATCTGCGAGCCGTTAATTAAATCTATTAATTTGTCTTCCAGTCAAATATTTAAATTAGAAAGTAAAACGGAACAGTCTGAATATCAAGGAAATAATGCATTGGATTGTAAGCCTTCATTTAGCACTGAAAATAAAGCCTTAATGGGATTTAGTCTTCCTCAGTCATTTGAACAGACTCGAATTCCTAGAAAAGATTATAGTTTTTATCAATATACCGAAAATAGCACTTTCGGTACTGGTAATTCAAGTAGAGCCTGTAAATATATAAATTCAAACGATTTATTAGAGCCTTTTTCTACCATTAATTCGAGAGCGAGTACTGGTCTGGCACGTCAGTCAATTAAAAATAGAAATAATCTAACACGGCAAAGATCATCGGATAGAAATAATCGTTCACAATTCTCTAGCACCCAAATTTATCCTATCCAAAGTCACGTAGGCTCTAAGCCATATCTCTTAGATAATTACGAGGCTAAAAATGGTGATCGAAGACATAGATCCAGACGGCTAGCATCGCTGCGCCGGAAGGGATCTGATAATAGCGTGACAAGCTTTAGACGGACTCTTCCTGTCAGAGAAAACCTTAGATTCAGACATTCTATGCGAAAGTCTGCGGAACTTGCTCCGCAAATAAATAAGCGATTATCAAGTAAAGACAATCGCCTCGCCCGGTTCAGTCTCCGAAAATTTTCGCCAACAGAACATCCACCTCGATTTCTTCACACAAGAATATCTAAAAGTAACAGATCAATCTCCATTATTTCAGATGCCAGCTCGACGACCCGTGAAAAATGTAGCTCACGAACTGGAAAACTCTTCAGATTTTCAAGGCCAGCACCCAAGGTACCCAAACCTAAACCAACCTCTCGCTTGACTGCGCTAAAAGTTGATCGAGAATCAGTTGGAAATAAATTTCAAAGCCGATTTGATGATTCAAGTGACGAATCAGATCAAGATATTAAAATAGCTCTCACCCCAGCATGGGATAAAACTGAAAGTGTCCGTGACCAGACTGATTCAATACACATGAACTCAACTGATATTTCACGCTCAAATCCTGCTCGCATATACTCCACAATAACTGATAGCACAAACGTTGCTTCCCAAGGGCATTTTCAAGAATCTCAATTTTTAGAAGGTACTACATTGGAGAAAACTGGAACGGAAAATGTCCTAAAAATATCCAGAAATATTACTCAACCCTCAAAATCATTTTTAAAAGTTTTATCGAAAAAAAAGTGCAATCATCAGAAGAAAGTGCACAAAAAACACAGAGAGTTTCACATACAACCTCAAAGTAATCTCAAATCTAGCGATTCCATGAAAAGATTGGTACGTTCTGAAAAACAGCTGAACACTAATTACCTCAAATCTACTTTGGCAGGGAAATCTCTTGAAAATAATGCGGTAAGCTTTCAAAGCCCTTTCATGATATCTACAGATATTGATAGATCCAATAAGTCTACAGGTAAAAATTCCAGAAATTGTTTTGGCGACTCGAGCGAATCTAAGGGAACTGATTGTAGTAATAGCTTCAAAATTTCTCATGCCGTCAATTCAACCTTAAATGGTCGTAGAAAAAAAAAATTTGGCACTTTTAGGAAACTTTTTAATTTGGGTGAATGAGCCCTTAACTTATTAAAATTTTCTACCAGAGTATTTTTTACTACGGTCATCTACACGATTTTTCCTCGTTTTTAACTTATAATAAGACGACGGCTAGTGCAATATATCCAAGTTTGAATTATTTATCGATTATAAAACGCATTGAACTAGATTTAACCTGTAAACAGCAAAGGAGGCCGCTTGGTAATCATTTTTAACCCTTAAGTTTGAAAGGGTGAGATTAGATATTAAATTATCTTGTAAGTACGATACGAAGAAATTGAACGCCCATAAATAACAGTGGAAAAGAATTCAAGATTGCTATCGTTGCAGAAAGCGATCGATCCCAAATTAAGGATTTCTTAAATTACCTAGGTCTCCCTGTTTACAGTTTTCTGTATCTCGGTAATAACAAAACGATGGCACTTAAGCAATTTGAGCTCGTTACAGTTGAATTTCGTCCTGTACTTTCAAGTATGTCGTAAGTTTCAATAATCGACTGGTTTGAAATAAGGATTTACAAAATAAAGGATCCCGATGAACCAAGCTAAGAGGACGCGGTTTGATGCTTCATATGTTAGATTGAATAAATGCCTACGGCTTACCACGTAATAAATTTCGAGAATTATATGAATTAAATATGTTATGAAACATGTACCTAGCTTTGTGTCGTTGTGGACCTGGAATGAGTTAATCCGGTGCGTCAATGAGTGGCGTGCAAACAAGCTTTGCCAAAGTCGTTTGCAAAGCGGAGTCATCGAATACGTGCCCACCTGAAAATTTTTTTATTTGACTGGAATAATGTCAACGTAACCATGACCTGCATCCAAAGCGATGTGAAACTGACAAGAAAGTATATATAGCCCTGCGGGCTAAGTGCGCCAAGATCTCACGTGAGACATACTGAGCTCTAAACGTTTTACCTGACGTTATCTGTGAAAATATTCTGTAACTGTTTGTACTCATGTAATCATGTACGAGTCGTATTCCTGTAACTATCTATATTCGTGTTATCTACAACTCGTAAACTATTACTAGTATTAGTCGCTCATGACAGTTGCTGTTTGCGATATTGGAACTAATCATGTTCTTACTTCACACTTAGGGTTATTTGATACATTAAGCTTGCACAATAGTATGGGGAGATTATATGGTCTGTACGTGGGTGATCGGATGAAGGACGGAAGGACTTTTATTTAAAGAGAGATGGAATACTTTATAAAGATCAATCAATCACATTTCTTCACTCTGGGATAAACTTCTTAGTTCCAGTTTATCAACAAATAATTATCAGGGATAATTTTACAGATTTAAATTGTTAGCTTTAGTACGCAGATCTACACTGGAAAAATCCTAATCTTACGTTTCCCGCTAGATATTCATGCTCACACCACTAATTTTTAAGAGGGATATGGTAACTCATCAAACTCATACTGGCTCGTAGGTTTGATGTGCCATACTGACCACAAACTTAACTCCAGGGAATGGGAGTTTGACAAAACTATTGCAAGGTTATTCAAAGCCCTGGAGAGTCACTTTGAGTTTCTGTGAAGAATAAAAGATACCTTATATTCATACCAAATAGCCGTCTTTAAGCAGCAGGTAAGTAGAGTTGCATTGGAGAAGAAGAGTGCTTAACACATCGGGCGCGTAAATGACCGACGTCGAGAAGCTGAAAGGCTAAACTTCTCTCGTCGGTAACTCGCATCGTGGAAAATGAGTAGCGACGCGAGGTAGATCGATCAGCGAGCTTTAGCAAATCATGAATTTACATACGGAATGAATAAACTTGCAACATGAGTACAGGCTTGGGATCTTTTGCGAGTGAGAGATCATGGAATAAATTACCACAGAGCCTGGTGCAATGGCGAAGACGCGAGTGGAGGGGTCAAGGTGGGCAAATGACATCAACAGAGAATGTAACCTGAATTTTCTTAGAAAATGATTTTCGAGCATCGTCACGCTAATCCAAGTGCTTATTCTACAAGTATTAGTGCTTACAAACGTGACTACCAAAACCATTGCTCTTAAAGACCAAGATACCAGTGCATAAATATATATACTTATCGGAAAGCTCCCTATTTGAGGGGCTTTCTCGCTACCATTAGGTACATTGGTGTGAATAAATTTTCTCTTCCGCCCGCCACCAGACAATCAGCTGCAACGGCTAAACAGTCTGCCGTTTTTTGGGTGCCCTCTGGGGCGAGATATACACTCTCCAGGAGTCCGACAAACTTGTGAGCGATGAAGCGACCAACCTTAGTCATACGGAAAATGGTAGGAAAGTCCCAGACGCTGCCCATCATGCTGAAATCACCAGCGAGTGGATAGTACCATGGGGCCGGATCGGGCCGCTGAGCCAAGTCTTCATGTAGCTCGAGCTCAAACCCTGCAGCCTTAATGGCAGTAAGAGCTTCAGAAATTTTGACCATGTTGGAGATACCATCACCTTGCTCGATCCCGATGCGAATATTGCGGTGATGCTCGTTCTCGTTATCATAGTCATCTGTCATGAGCCACTCGTACACACCAAAGACTCCACCAGGCTTGAGAACGCGGAATATCTGGGAGTAGACGCCCTCGAGCGAAGGAGCGTGTACTGTGGCCTCAATTGCGTATACACAGTCAAATGAATTTTCCGGGAACGACATTTGCTAGGCGTGGGTTAGCAAAACGCAATAGTGGTCGCCGGTCAGGCGTAGCAGGTCAAAACCTACCATAAAGTCACCCTTGACGAAAGCCAACTGATCCGAGAGCCCTTCCTTCTCTGCATACTTGATGGCACGCTCAATTTGATAATCGTTGTTATTGAGACCGGTTATATGTGCACCGGTGAACTTGGCCATCTCTCGCGCCGGTCCGCCAACACCACAGCCAACGTCCAGCACAGAATCTCCATCCTTGATTCCAATTTTGGCGGCGAGATAATGCTCGTGACGAGCAATGGCTTGGTAGAAGGGCTCTCCGTAGGCGAAGCGACAGAAATGGAAACATTGGCCCCAGCCATATTCGTACAAGTCAGTGCCGAGATTGTAGTAACTATATGAGCGTGAGATTGGAATCAAGGAGCGCGTAGATCGCAACATACTGTTTCGTTAGTGTTGCGTATTCGGCTTTGCGTGACTAGGCCGAGCATGTTAGTCTGCATTGTGTGGAGCATGCAGAAGATTCTACCTCGCGGTCCTGTGTGGTTTCCTCTCGAGCACCTTTATCCCAGTGTTTGAAGTATTCTTCCACGGCTAACTTTTGCGCTGCCTTGTCCTTGCCTACCATCGCCCGAAATCCTCCTTGCGCTTTCGCCGAATCCTTGTGCATGGCTTTGCTAAAGGCAGCATCTCGGGAATGGTCCTCAGCTTCTAGTTTGACTGATGGCATAGTCACTTAGCATATAATCGTGCTGGCTTGAGAAACGGGGGGGCGTGTGCGGGGAAATCGGTACTGGTGGTGAAGGCGTAGTGAATGAGAGAGCAAGAAGTGCTGTCAGCACGTCGAATACAGTGATTACACGTCACGTGATGTCGAGTTTTACTTCAAGAGTGCACAGGTTCGTGAATAGAAAGTATTCTTTTGCTCTATCCGCCTCAGAGTTCAAGGACTCGACGGTTATCAGTAGTGCCCCATGAATCTCCAGCTCTAACTGCAAAGTTTGCAGAGATGAGGTCGATTCCAAAGCTACTCAATAGCGCTTCAGGTATCTATGAGACCGGCATAAAGCATTCGGCTAGACTACTTCACGGCAATTGGCCCCGGGCCCGGACTTTTCCGATAACATTTGCCGACCGTTTGTTTTATCCCGCGACACGAGCTAGTTGAGGAAGATAGATATGTGGAGAGACGCTGTCGAAACGGGTCATCTGGCTGGAGTTATTTGGAGGCAATAGTTCTTGCATTGCGTTAACTTGTTCATTTCATTCATGTATGGCCTAGGTCAGATAGGAGCCCGATGCGCTCGATAGTCATAGACTCAAGTAGTACAATAAACATATACATACATACATTTTATTTGTGTATACCGAGATTCGGATAATGCTTTACCCGAATGCAAGATAGATAGAAGCTCTGTAGCAATGAAGAAAAACTGTGAGATTTCGGCCCGATTAGTTTCACATCTCTATTTTTATTCTAAATTGACAGGTGTGTTTTTGTTTATGGTGATACTTGAGTGTCCGATTATCTGGTACATTGGACTCCTCTCTAAACTAGGCCGCACATTACAAAGCGCTCTTATCCTCCTATCTTACCTGAAAGATCTCTGATGTATTGCCCGTGATGGTGTTACGGGGTAAATCAGTCGGGTTTCTACTCTCTACGCAAGTACGGCAGGGATAGAATATAGGGCCTGGCTAGCTGTGGAGTCTACCAATATTGTGGACTGGTTGTGGTTGCTAAGCAACATAGATTGTTATGATCGGGTCTGATAATTACAATTCCCTATGTATACAGCGAGAAGTAGGAAATCTTCCTTTTTTAAGAATACTTTAAATTACTGATTTATTCTGGACTTGCTCTGCTGTATACCAACTCCAATTGATCCGGAAGGTGTGGCCTGGGTCAGAGAGGAGCCCAATGTGCTAGATAGTCATAGGCTCAAGTAGCACAATAAACAACAATAAACACCAATTGATCCGGCGATTGATAGTGTTGAAATATGTCTTGGAACGCTAAGAATAACTTATTAGTAAGTCCTGCTAATTTGACTATCAAATTCCCCATTCTATATCACTGTTATCAATACATCCTTCACCGAAAGTTTAATGCGCATTAGCGTTTATTTCACACCAGAATTCCAGCGGATGACTATGTCTTAAATGCAGGTTATAGTTTTCTCGTATCTATTACCGATACACATGTATTTAGCTTTATATTCCTGGCCCATATATGTGTATGTACATAGATCTACATCTACATGGTTAAAAACTTACGATCCATAGAGATTGATAAATATTGGTCAAAAACCACAGTTTATAAGATATGCGAACACGCAATCTCACTCTTATCATCTCGCTTTTACTCTGAACCATACATCTAAATACAATTGTTTCCACTCGGATCTTCCTCTCACAACCTCATACAAAACTTACTGCATCGGTCTAACCGCCGACACTGATTGCGCTACAACCTCCATCTTCGCTCAAGCTCATAACTTTAACAGATAGTTAGCCATTCAGCACAGTATTTACGCGTGGAATTCAATCTCATCTCTACAAAACCTTGTACCTTGAAAAAACACTGCTGCAACCCCAGCCAGGCAAAGCCTACAAATCGGGGCCACATGTGGTGCGCGTATCCATCCAAATCTTTGTTGGTTCCATTCAGGCTAGATGTTGTGACCTCAGGCCACTAGGCTCGTAAGACTATTTTAGCTGACTAATTGGTATAGGCCTGTGCATATGATCCAATCCATGGAGATTCCTGACAATCTGGATAAAAGTATTATATATACGATTCAGTACATTAAAGCCGCCATAAGTTCACAGTGGCACTTGCAAATGAAATCTGAGGAATAAGTGCTCTTCCTTTACGTTGAATCATCTATTCTATACTCTTCTTTGATATTGTGTCGTAGCTAGATAGGTACATACGCAATTAAAGATAAGAATTTATTTCATAGTCCCTTCTGAGACTCTTTTTTTTTTGCATCAGATTTTAATTGCGTATGCAGCTATCTAGCTATGACACAATATCAAAGAAGAGTATAGAATAGATGATTCAACGTAAAGGAAGAGCACTTACTCCTCAGATTTCATTTGCAAGTACCACTGCGAAGTTATGGTAGCTTTTTCTTCACCCCAAGTCAACCCTCATCCGTGAATACCCACTCAGGGGAACGTCTCAAAACCCCTGACTTATCCAGACATGTCTCCATCATCTTTCGACTTCTCTCCGCGCGAAATATGGTCAGAGATGTCTCCTTCCCAAGTGGAGTAGGTGCCCAGGCTACTCAGACTATACCAGAGAACACCACCAGGAGGCGGACCACAACACCTTCCATCGTTTGCTTGTGCTTATAGTGTCAGCTGCACTCTCGCAAGCGAAGTTTTGGCGCGCACAAAGCCCAATTCGTAAAACTCATCGCCAAAATTCGAAATATCACGCCCGTCGCGAATGTTTCCCTCTTCTGCATCACCTTGTGAACTTGTCCTGATCCCTCTCACGTCCATCCCAAATGACTGTCTCCCAGATTTGTGCGCCACGCTTTGCTTCCTCTGTCGGGTATAAATATCGGCGTGGGCGTGTATTTGGTGGTCAACTGAGGCCAGAGAAGGTCGAAGAGAGGTATGGTCATTGGGATAAGGATGTACTTGGTCGTACTTGTAGACTTGATGAAGCTTAGTTGAGTATCGGACTCTTTGGGAGTAAAAGATTGACATGGTGGAGAAATTTGAAATTTGGCCTCGTGGGCCAACTTCTTTGATATTGCGAAATTTGACTGAACTTGGCTCTGGGAGAATATTTCACTCTCAGGTTCGCAGAGGATATCGCGTACAGGTGTTCAGTCTTGCCCTCCCCCTTCTGAGACTAAGACTATGAAGGACTATATTCAAATATACGTACTCTGATCACTTGTATAGCTTGATAAGAGACACTGCACAGCAAATGTAAGGCGTAGGTGAATCAGGATTGAATTGATATCCCACAGTAGTGATATGAGTTGGGTCTTATAGAAGTCCCCATCCACCAAACTGTGTTCCAATTATCTACTCTATTCTAAACGTGTCTCATTCCCTCTTATAACTGTGAAGTACTCTGTCAATGACTTGTGTCATCAAAGAATGACTACTCCTTCACTTGACAGATCGTCTCTACGACTCGTCGCTTACATTACTCGGTGAATACTAACTGACGCGTCTGTTGTCCAGACAGTTCACGGCTCGCAACCTAGCGAGTCGTGTAATCCGATACTGGAGGTTCCATGTTCAATCTATTAAGACATGACCTGTTTCTCCAACACACTACGCAATTAAAATTTGATGCAAAAAGAAAGATTTGGTGCACTCCATTTCTGTTCAAAAACACTAGTGCTGAAGTTCTGTCACCAACCTCCCTCATTTACAACATCCGAGGCCAACCCAACCCAATCCACCACCTCCGTATCGGGCGCTGGGTACGCTCTGGAACCTCATCGGATGGCTTCTCCTCCATGATCGAATGTTGGTGATGAAAAGGGCTTCGACCCTACTATCTGATCTGAATGTGGTTAGCTTCATGATAATGGTGATAGGGGGATGTGCTTAGAGATACATACGATACAGGTCGCTAAAGTGATTAGGAACCCTCGTCGAAGTCAAGATTAAGGTGTTAATCAAACTCGGCTCTATAGACTACACAGTGAGAGCTGGAGGATCGTAGGGTACACCGCTGATAGTTGATGAGTCTCGGTCCCCTGCAAGACGCACAGTAAACCTCAACCCCAAAACAATTATATGAATCAAGTTTTTTGTGCTAGACCCTGTGTGGCTAGTACAAATGGAAAATGGGGGACGATATATTTAGTGTGACGGAAATCAAGTTGGTGATGAATAAATCGACTAATTAAACTATACGAAGAGAGAAGAAATTTCTAGATTCTACTAACAGGTACTTATAACGTTTTGGGAGACTATTCTCAACACCTGTCAGTGGTCTCCCCTACGAACCTTCAGCACTCACTGTAGAGCCTGCAGAGCCGAGATTGAGCAACATCTTTCAACTTTGAGCTGAGTTGTCTCCCCCTCCGTCAAAGATACGCTTCCGATAACACATAAGACGACCAGGACGATGATAATGATGCTAGGAATGAGGAAAGATAATGCGGTACCAAACGCTACAACGGTAGTTAGAGTAGCCCTCGTTATATCACAACATGTGCTACCCACCGGCGGGCGAACAAAAAGCCCACGAAAGCAAAGTAAAAGACCCTTCCGCCTTCGAGAAAAGCAGATTCAGACTCATCAATAATATCGTCCCTTCTAATCTTTAATTCTGAATCTACTAGCTAGGAGGGCATCTTAAATACATGAGTTACTCGACAACCCCACGTCCGTAACGACTTTTGGATTCTTAGCTAGGTTCCTTCACGGCAGTCACTCTCGACCAAGACTTTTCTGACATTCTTTCACGACCTTCGGTTTATCCTGCGGCATGAACCAGGGGAGGAGTAAGGAGGAGGCTAGGAAGGTTGAGAGACGCTCTTAGGTATACACAGGTCTGCTGCGCCCGGCTGGCCAGCCTCTTCGTTATAGGAGAGCCCCGCACCCAGTGATTTTTGAGACTTTTTCCAGCAGCTACACACCCGCAAATGGCCATCGTTTCGTTGGCTGGAGAGGGGAGATAATGACGGGATAACGGCTGCTCTTGGTGTGTACTCGAATGAAGACCTGTGGGGGTATTACTGC